TTACGCTGTCTGCATGTGTCGGTTCAACAGAAAGCACTGCTGGGATGTTATATTAGGCTGTTTGTGTGCTCTGCAAAAAGACGGTTTGTTTATATGTGTGTGTGTGTGTGTGTGTGTGTGAGAGAGAGAGAGAGAGGGTAATGGACAAACTGATATGGGTGTGGGTGCAAAACGTATGCGCTGCTACCTGTCTGTCTGCTTTCCACGGTCTTGAAGACAAGATGAGAGCAGAAAGGCTCATAAAGGCAGGATAAACATGACAGAGGAAGAAAATTAGAAAAAGTCGTGTGTGTGTGTGTTGTTTTCTGCTGCTGCCATCTCCGTGCTTAAAAAGTAGGTTTGGTCATGCTTAAAGTATAAATAAACTATACAAATTAACCAGGTTTTGTTTTTACCTACAAAATGAAGTTACCTGTAGGTCAATTGATTGATTTATTCAAAAATACATAACAATTCCACTCATATATATGACTTGAATACAAATAAGTCAATTCTTGAAAAAGTTTTAGTTTGTATTTAACAAAATGGAGCCTGAAACACAATTCTGACACACAGTGGCCTTGTCCCGAACTCACACTTTCGTGACGTGGTGCCGCTTTGAGTTTCGGGTATGATGCAGAGCTCGTCTCCGTGCAGGCTTGACAAAAGTGTGTATCACAGGCGCATGTGACAAACACCCTACAGTCTTGTGGGCTTAACCCTTGTGCATCAATTAAAAAAAAACACATAGGTAAAAAGAGGACAAAAAATGTCCATGTCAAAAAACTGTCATAAAATGTGATGCTTCGGAGCACAGACTTAAGTTTGGTATCATTTTAAAGAAGACCCTTTGCAGATTATTGCTGAAGTAAAAAAAATTATAAGTAAATCCCAAAAAAAAAGTTATATAGGTATAAGTTTATGAATATTATTTATAAAAAAAATATTTTACATAAAAAATGGTTGAACTCAAAACTGCAATAAAATCAAAGCCATGAATCTAAATAGGTTGTGTTCCAAATTTGAGGATGATATCTCAAAAAATGAGCTTTCGGTAACACTTTGTTTGGGCGTAGTAGCATATTTTCCCCATTGGGTGCCAGCAAAACCCCTCTGGAGCTCACAGTGATTGGATTTGTTATTTGCAGTTTTTCTCTCTCAGTATTACAAACACACACATATTTTTATAACACACATACTAACCACACTCTGACATCCATACCAACACACCCACACAAATATCGTTGCATAATTTATCCAGTTGGCTCTATAGTATGCCGAAGCAGAAAACAGGAATAAAGCGATTTTTGTTTTATAGGCCAAACTTTAAAAAAATGGCACCATCTGATAAAAAATAGTAAAAAATACAATTTTGAAGCCTTGCCATCAGAATGAAAGCCTCTTAACAAAGATTGCATAATTTTATAGTTAACTGAACCGGGGGATTAAAATTGCAGTTTTAATGGGTTTCAATTGGGACATTTTTGTGCTGAGAGGGAGTATTTTTTAAGAAAATGACGGTGAAATAGTAAAATTCCAATAAAAATACACACCTGTGCCAAATTTTTTGCAGTTAGCTTTAACACAGGCAAAGTGATAAAAAAAAACAAAACTGAAAAGGACAAAAATGTCCACTACATTTGAAAGACAAATATCGTACTTTCTACTTCACTACATTTCTGTCAAAGTCCTTGATAAAAAGTAGTGATGTTAGTCATGGCATGATTTTTCCCTTCTCTAAAACGTGATTGTTTTTTTTTTTTTTTTTTTGCGGCTGATGCGAGCATCTTTCTGAAGCCTGGCCATTTGGGACGGGGCATTGATCAGCCATTTGAGACTGGGCCTGTCTTTATTCTGGATGTTGCGTGTTTTTGTTGGTTCATCCACCTTTTGCAATTACTTGTGGGATAGATAACACTCAATTTTGGATGAACTATCCCTCATGTCATGGTAAACAGATTACAGAATTACAGTAAAAAACAGACATTTCTTAACTATGTTCCACAGAAGAAATACATTCAGGTTTCAAACGACATGTTCTGGACTTTCGTCCCTCTAACAGATTAGTAAAAAGCCAACAAATAGTTTTCACTGCTGATATTTCTCCACACTGCAGCCTGTTGTCTGTCCAGAATAGTAAACGCCTCTGAGGTGCGCACGCCGTCTGCCACAGCCAATGACTTCAACAAGACTGAACTTGTGCTCATATACTACACCACTGACATTGAATCTTCAGATTAGTGCTTGATCAATGACCAGATTCAAGACTTTTTACATTTGGTCTCAATCTCAGTATACAGTATTTGGTTACCTGTTTGGTAACTCAAGTAAACAAAGTTACAATAGTGAATAAAATACTTTCATTTTTAAAGTCGATATAGGTTTTATTCAGTAGTCTTTGGTACGGACTTGCCCCTATGTTCACACAACCTAGGAAACCAAAAGCAAGTTCAGACATTCACACAGGGCAGGGCTTTAGATTGCACCCCCTACACACACACACACACATCATGCACTAGTATGCTAAAGAGTTTCATCCAAAGCGTTCATTGAACCCTAACCCACGCTGGGTCAGCACTAGCAGCTGCTGTTCAGGTGCTTAGTCAGCTGAGAGAGACAGGTAGTGTGTGTGTGTGTGTGTGTTCATGAGACAACAGGTTTGGATCTAAATTCAACTGAGTTGATGGTAACACCCCATGACCCCAGAGGCTCGGCCTTTCTCTCTCTCTGTCCGTTCTGATGTTTATGTGCAGTCTGGGTTGCTGACATGAATTATTGCGCTCGCTGTTGTTCTCTGGTATTTTCTCACCCATAAGAGAATTTTCTTTGTATTTGTCTTTTGTCATGCCTTGCACAAGCACTTGTGAGATTTTCTAAAGTTGTACATTTTTATACATCTTACTTTGGATGAATGGATATGTTATCTGAGATACAGGGGCCCCAAAAACTATTTGAACATGTTTAAATCACACTCAAAATTACAGTAAAATTTAAACATTGAAATCTTTCAGCATCATTACTCCAGTCTTCAGTGTCACGTGATCCTTCAGAAATGATTTAGTGCTCAAGAAACATTTATCAGTGCTGAAAACAGTTCATATTTCTGTGGAAAATCGTATTCTTTTATGAAAGATTAGATGAACAACATTAATTGGAAATAGATAATCTTTTGTAACATTAAACATCTGGGTAACACTTTACTTGAAGGGGAAGACTGACATGACACCTTGACATATGGGTTTATGCATGTTTATGACAACTGTCTTTAAGTGTCTTTCACTCAATAATGACATTTTGAATGCAAATATGACATTGTTTGAGATGTCTTTGTTATGACACCTTGACATAAACCAATACATCATAACCTGTCAGTGTCTTTGTCATAAATGAAGTTAAACTATCATGTGGTTGGCTTTGACATTGGCTGTCATGAGACATTTTAACTGTGTCATGAATATTTTTCACAACTACAGTGGTACTAATTGAATTTGTCATTAAAAAGTTATAATGGCTTCATGACAGCCAATGTCAAACCCAACCACCTGACAGTTTAATGTAATGTTAACCAATAAAGCTAGCTGCTTTCTTAAGTTTGATCATTAATCTGCTATGTCATGTTTTGTTGTCTCAGTAATGTCAAGTTGTCATGACAAAGACACTGACAGGTTATGATGTATTGGTTTATGTCAAAGTGTCATAACAAAGACATCTCAAACAATGTCATATTTGCATTCAAAATGTCAAGTGAGCGAATGACGCTTAATGACGCATAAAACTTGTCATGTCATGGTTATGAAGGTGTTATGTTAGTCTTATGCACACCCCTTCAAGTAATGTGTTGCCGACGTTTTTGGTCAATTCAAGGCAACTTTCATCTGAACAATATCATTTATTTAATTTTATATTATATAAATTTGACAGAAATGTCGATTTTAAGATTTTTATTTTCTATTTTAAGTGTGGCCTACCTGTCCATACTTCTTGTCCCATGTACAGTACTAGGGCTGGGTATTGACACAAATTTCACAATTCGATTCAATTTCGATTCACAAGCTTGCGATTCGATTTCGATTTCGATTCAATATTGTTTATATCAAGGAAATCAAATCTCTTAACTAATGCTGTAAACTATGGGAGTCTAGTTGTAGGCTTCATTAGCCTAATATGAAGGTAATAATGAATGTTTTGTAGCTATACAAACACTTAAATTACACTTATTTATTTTTATAATAAGAAAATTGTAAGAAATATAAACGTTTAAATGGTGGCTGTCGTAAAAAACGTGCCAGATTTATTCAAATATGCATTAAATATTAAACAACATTAGGATTATAATGCATATGTAATATGGTGTATATATTTAGCAAAATGCTCCTCTCTAGAGTTATTTTTTCTAGCTGACTAACGAGTTGATGTGGGTTTTCTGAGGTAAATGTGACGATACATGTGCCAAAACATTATTTATTTTTTTGAATTTTTAAAGAAAATGGACATAATTGGAAAATTGAGACTTTGTTTCATATCAATAGTAACAAAGGAAAAACATTATTGCAATTTTTTTTTTGGATGCGCGCAGCCGCGATACAATGTTCCATTCATTCAAATGAAACAGGATGACTAATCGATTCTTGAGATTTAAGAATCGATATCGGTTCGTAAAAATGAGAATCGATTAATATCGAGAAATCGATATTTATTACCCAGCCCTATACAGTACTGTATGTACTTCAGTCCTGCCCCAAATATCCTGAAACCACCAGCATCCATTGAAACGGTCTGTGTCTGCTTTAGAGGGTGGGAACCAGCTGACCGGATTACCCTGCACCTCACTGAACTCATTGTGTTTCCAGCAGGTCAAATTAGTCTACGCTCAGGCATCTTGTTTTTATCATTATGTTTTGCATTAGAATTCATCTCAGGAATGCTTGCACTTCCACTACAAATGATACAAACAATTGAAAAAGTTAGTTCACATCTGACCTGTTAAGTCTGACCACTCTCACAAATGCATGTATTTTCAGAGTGTGCTCGCCTGAGTCGGGAAGTGGATGGTCTGCAGGTGGAGGTGCCAGAGTTGAGGTCACACCTGAATACAGCCAGAGAACAGTTGGAGAAGCAGGTCCAGTCCCAGAAACTACTGCAGAACCAAAACCAAGAAGCCCAGTCTCTCATACAGGGTGTGTAAACCCTCAGTTTAAAGGTGAAGCGTGTCATTTTAGCGCCATTAGTGGCACCAAATAGAATTGCAATTATAAAAATAGATTTAAAATGCTCGGGAGGTTTCACTTTCATTCTCTGTGTTTCCTCATGTTAGTTTTGTTTGCCATCCATGGAAATCCATGTTCGTCTGGTGTGTGTGTTGGACAGGTGTTTTGGGGTTGCAGTCTCTCAGTATCCAGACATGCTTATGGTGTGTTTCAGTGTGTGTGTTTGAGTGGTGTTGGGTGTGTGTTTGTGTTAGACAGGTGTTTAACGCCCCCCTGCTAGTGTCTTCATGGAGCCTTTGAACTCTCAGTGGTGCAGTTAACACTTTTGTAATGTTTGCCTTGTCAACAAGCCAACGGCTCCTAACCTCCATGAGCGGCAAACACAGCTTAAAGCCTAAAGGGATAGTTCACTTTGAAATTAATTTTTGGTATGTGTTATCTTACCTCAAGGGCATCCAAGATATGTAGGTGTCTTTGTTTCTGCAGTAGTTTCAATTTTGATATTTTTAGGTCAAACCGTTCTCGTCTGTCAGTCATATAATGGAGGTCTATGGTCACCACCTCAAAGAGCATGCACAGAGAAGTCCAAATTAAACATGATTTAATGACTCGTAAATGTAAGTACACATTGATGGCCTAAGACACGAAACGAGCGGTTTGTGTGAAAACGAACAGTATATCGTTTTTACCTCTTGTATTTGGACATGTTTTATTTGGACTTCTCTGTGCGTTAAAGAAATTAAGGTTTTTGATGAAAACATTCCAGGATTTTCTCCATATAGGGCACCAAACGAATCAAGGTCCAAATGAGAGTGATCATTTGGTTCATTCAATGAACGAAATGACTCGAAAAAAGATTTGTTCATTTTGATGAACGAAGAGTCACGAACGCGCATCACAGATCAGAGCAAGGCGAGCATTTGTGCTTATAAAACTTATACCGTTTTATTCATTTTTTAAATGGCCGATCGTTTCGCTTGATAAGACCCTAATTCATCGTCTGGAATCGTTTAAAGCCCTTTGAAGCTGCACTGAAACTCTCGTTTGGACCTTGAACCGTTTGGACCCCATTGACGTCCATTATATGGAGAAAATCCTGGAATAAAAACCTTAATTTCTTTTCGACGGAAGAAAGAAAGACATGGACATCTTGGATGACATGGGGGTGAGTACATAATCAGCAAAAGTTTGTTTAAAATGGTACGCTCTATTCCAATGCAAATGATCTGTGCCATTCACATTCATTGTCAAGCTCTATACTCATAATGAATGCCAAAATGTCTCTTTTCCTAAAAGAATTTTAAGAAAACCTCTGAGAAAAAATTAATACCTAAATGAAACGCGGCTAAGAGCTCCATTAAGTCTCCTGAACTATGAAAGAGCATAAAAATGGTCTTCTGACAAGTACTTATTACTTGGAGCCGATCTATTTTTCCTTCCCATGTGAGGCAAAAGAAAAGAAAATAAGGGAGCAAAACAGTGTATATAAGTATACCTTGCTCTCGCCGGGTCATGTTACGGTGACCAGAGAGCAATTATCTATGCTTCCCCGCTCCTCGGCACTCTTACCCCATCGAGAAAATGTCACGCTGACACGAGCAACACAGTAGAGAGCACTTTCACCAGAGAAAGCACGACGTCACCTTAACCGGTCTCAGTCCCTCAGCCAGCCAGACAGCCAATTCACCAACAAACACAGCCCATTTTCCCTCTGAATAAAAGCCCTCTGGATCGAGCAGCCTTTGTGTGGTTCTGGAATATATCCTGTTGTGATTTAGCAGATCATAAACAGTTTGAGAACCGAATGACCGTGGTTTCAGGTGTTTATGGCCTGGCCCTCAGTTCCTCTAGATATAAACACGTTTCCCGTATTTACTGTGTGCGTTTTACACACTCTCTCCTCCTGCAGCTGCTGTTTTCACAGGGATGATGCAACAACCTAATCATTGTCTCTTCATTCGCTAAAGACAATGCTTTGGTGCTTTTCCTCAGGAGATGTGCTTCAAAATTAGACCAGCGTCTTACTAATAATTCCCCCCTGGATCTCTGAAGTCTCGCAGCCTCTCCGGGGTATTTCTGTCCTGTGGTTTATGATGCTGATCATTAGGAGAGTAGGAGGAGAGGTCAGAACGACTCGCTCTGGTCGCTGGCAGTGAAGGGTAGCAACTCATCGACTTCATCCAGTCGAACTCCTGACGGAGGTTACGCGTGTGACTGATCTTTGCAAATGTTAATAATTCTTCATGCAAATTGGTTGTTTTTATCAATTGTGTGTCTTGTCTAATTTGTTTTCTGTTCATCTAGGCACCTGGAA